GATAATATTAGAACATGTCAGTAATGTCTGAGGGGCTTTTATAAACACCATATAACTAACACTACTGGAGAGGGTATGGATTACACAGAGGCTTCTGGGGAGCCCAGTTATTGGGGGGGGGGGGGGGGGGGGCATTTTGCCTTGGCCCCCAAAATGTCTTGAAACGGCCCTGGGTGTGTGACTGAGTGTTGAAGGTGATCTGAATTGTATCAGATGTATAAATATGACATGTGTATAACTTATTGTTTTTTACAGGTAAAAACGTGTCGTGGAGATAAATCTACCTACATTTTACTTTTCAACACTTTGTTTTGTTTTCTTTTTATTGAACTATTTTCCTGTCCTGTCTGTCTCTCATCTTCCTGCATCTCCTCTTAATTCTCCAGAAAATCTGTTGCCTGGATTCTTACCTTTTCACCTCATCAGTTACTTTTGAGCAGGTCAAAGGGATCTCCTGACCGAAAAGCGCAGAGCGCGTTTTCGATGCTGCGTGAGGTGAAATCACCACAGCACAGGTGATGAGCTCCGCAGTAGCGAGCTTCAGGCACAAATAAGACAGAAAATAGAGAACATGAGCGGACATGAACGATCCTGTGCTAATTATAGTTTTTTGGTTGCGCCACTTTGAGAATGGACCGTGCGCTGGAAGCAGCTGCCTGGATCGCAGTGCAACAATGCGGAACCGGTTCGCAGCAGCGCAAGTCTGCCGGCTCTCCCTCGCGCTGATCTGCGGCTCTCCCTCGCGCTGATCTGACTTGCTCTGGTCTGCGCTCAACGGCGGGCGGGAAGGGGGGGGGGCGCTTTTGGAAGAGTTGTGCGACACAACGAATCGATGACGCAATTCGTTGCCAACGCTTTTGGTAATCGATTTTCATCGAATTTATCGATTCGTTGTTGCAGCCCTAGTCCCAACTCAAAACAAAAAGTTCATTTTTAAATAGTCTTCATGGTTATTAGGGATGTGTATTTTTGAAATTCTGGCGATACGATACATATCACGATACAGGGGAGATGATACGATGCATCACGATATATTGCGATACATTCAGTCAGGCATTACAAGCAATTTTTTTTACTGAACTTATTGTAAGAATGTTCAATAAACAGTCCAAACTGATACATAACATGTTTAACATGAGGTATCTGAACCATGATGGAGGGATTTACATTTCAGTGGCGGAAACAAAACCCGCTGCACACTGCTGCCAACTAGCGGGTGGCGATTGAATTGCACAAAACGAAAAGAAAATACACAAATGTTTGCATGTAAATTCTTTCAGGAATTAGGTACACAGCTTTTGAATGTCGATGTAATAACAGCAGGAAAAAAATCACGATATATTGCCATATCGATATTTCCGATACACGACTTTTGAATATCGAAATAATATTGCTGGGGAAAATATCACAATATATTGCCATATCGATATTTTCTTACATCCCTAATGTTTATGTTCTTCATCTCTGGAAATGTTGGCAGTAAGAACCCAGCAGTGCAGCCGGAAGTCAACTCAGGGATCAAGCAAACCGAGCTGATCCGGTCAGCTGGTCACAGGACGACCAATCAGCTTCCACCTGTATTTATCAGGCCTCAACACCTCCTGCTCGTCTGGCGTGTGGAGTTCACCAAAGCTCGGTGGAGGCAGCATCATGGTGCAGAGCCCTTTCTTAGCTCGGATCAGAACCACACCTGTGCACCATTTCCAGGAACTAAAAGTTGCCCACATCACAGATGAGCTTCAGACGGCAGGTTTTGGACTGTTATGTCCTGATATCTGGACATCTCTCCTCTGATTGGCTAACAGTAACACGACTACCACCGACTGATGTTTTATCTCCACAAATAACACAAGCCTGGAGAAGTTCTGCTGTGTGGTGGAGTTGCTAATGCTAACGGTTAGCTTATACTAGTCAAGACCACAGACATACATATATACACGTCCCGTGGACTGGCGCTGCCTATAGGAGGTGCTGTAGTGGCCGGCCGCCATGTTAGATTGGTCTCCATAGGGAGCCCCGGGGTGTTTCTCAATGGAACCTTGCCTTGATGCCTTAGCCCCGCCCCGGTTGCCTTGGAGATACGTCATCGGGAGCCACCAAGACGTGTTCCAATGTTCATGTTCTACCGAGGCGTGTGTTCTCTGTTTGTTAGCCGTTTAGCTAGCTGAGCAAGGAAACACGGGAGGTGTCTTGTAGCCTAGCCTTGGTCAAACATTACCCAGAATACACCGCGGTATTTTCAAAAGGACGGCGGATCAGAAGCCGGCAGCTACTTCTGGGGAAAATTTCAAGTTTAAAAGTAAGTCAACTAATTTAAAATGTTGTTTTAGATCCAAAGAAGTTATCTATGGTTGGTTAGTTGCTTAGTAGTTGCAGCTTCGGTGGCTAGCGGGTAGAAACTCACTTATATATTTGATTTAATAAACATATACACAATTTAAAAAGTAAAAGGCTCATTATATATTTATATTGAAACTAATACGTATAAAATGTCACGTGACACGGGAGATAACGTTCTGTGACGTGACCGCTATGGAAGCCACGGTTACGTGATGCAAGTCTGTTCCATTTAACCGTTTTCTTTGACCAAGGAAGGACAGTGTCCTCGTAAGCAAGGCGCCTGGCCTCGCAAGACATCGCCTCGCAAGGCCAGGCGCCTTGACCTTGAGAAACACCCCAAGTCTCCTCCCTCTCTGGTCTGCTCATGGGTCCCCGGAAGAACAAAAGAAGAAATTGAAGTCACAGAAGCTAAAAGAGCTATTCCCTAATCCGCTTTGCCTTACGCCCTGGATCCGACACATGTTGTACTTCAATTTAAATGAAAAGTAGCGATGGGTGTTTCGACCACGCCAGTCACGTACTTTGAGATTCATCAGCTTGTAAAAGTTTGTAATTAAATGACTACAAATCGGACATGACTTATATGACGTCACTACATAATCTCCTCCCCCCTAGCGTAGCGGCTACGTACCACATGGACAGATTTATGGTGGTTCTTTCCTCCTGAAGGAAGGATTTAAAGTTTGCAGAACTTATATAGCATTTTTTCCTCCTGTTTTTCTCCGTGTCTGGTTCGATGACGTCACTTTCGTGAAGCGCATTTGTAGTCTTGGACTTATTTTCACACAAAACCTAAAATAGCGTTTCTTCCTGTTCGAAAATAAAATCTTTCTTGGTATCAAAATGTGTCTTTAAAATTCACGGACGTCAGATGTGAAATCCATGGCACATAACAATCGGGGTTAGAAAAAGGCATTTTTAGACCCGTTGACTTGCATTCAATTTTTCATTTTTCCAGAGACCCGTGGTCCGGAAGTACATGGGCGTGACTTATGGGCAATTCCCATCTGTACCTGGTCGGCCCGGCCCGGATAGCATACCTTGCTTACATATCTTGGTGGCCTGCCTTTTTTCAGGGTGCAACGAGACTGTTTTCAGCCCTCTTTCTGAGGTGGTCTGCTTCAGGCTGACCAGGGCCAACACAACCACACCTTCCATTAGAGCAAGCCTCTGATTGGTGGGTCGGATCAGCCCACATGGGCTTAAGGCATGCTCAATTCATAATCATTCATTATCATGCTGATTACCTAGAAGCTGAAAATGTCTCTGACTGCATCCCTTGCATACCTAAGCAAGGATGTGTGGAATCAACCGGGCCAGGCCGGGGCTGACCGGAGCTATCCGGGCAGGGCCGACCAGGTACAGATGGGAATGAGGCATTAGGGTGCGATCGATTTTCCTTGGAAGTCGAAACTCGGAACTAGGAATGACGTCACACCCGAGTTAACAGCGTTCTGGTTGCCGGAGACGGAGAAGTCCGGATTCCAATAAGGCGACGCCGTCGAAAACGAACACAGACGAAAGCTCATCTTCAAAAAATATTTGAAGAAAGACAAAGACGATCTAAAGCAACACTTTTAAATTGTTCAGCTTGGAGTTGCAGAGGCTACATACAACACTGATTTAGACGCACTCTTATAAGTGTGTCTTGTAAAATAACCACATTTCAATCAAAACTACTGTTGTTGATACGGAGAGCTGCCATTTTGGATCTCGAAGTCGGGGTTGTGAAAATTTTCCGAGTTTCCGACTGGGAGATCCGACGTGGGGGGGCGTTTCATTTGATTTTTCCTACTCTGAGGTGGGGATTTCCGAGTTCCTAGGACAAATCGAACGCACCATTAGGCTCCCCATTCACACCCAGTGCATTAATTTCTACTGAGAAAGGTGCTTGCCCAACTAAAATACACATTTTATCAAGCTTTTCCAGCATAATTAAAATATTAATATAATTAAACAAACTAAATAAAAAATTAAAATATGAAATCCTATCAGGTAGGCTAAAAAATAAACGTTTTCAACTGTACACCGGTTGTTGTAACCGTAGGCTGCACAAAACCTGCACGACCGCAGGAGTAGTTCACTGTGTACATTTAACACCCATCTGAGTGAGACGGGTGTTGTGTTAGAAAGCGTTCCTCCTCCTGAGCGAGTCTCTGATTCAGCGTAACTCTCCTAATCACATCACAGCCCTCTGAATCTGAATCAATCAGCAGAGGCCTACACCTGTCATATAAATATACATATATATATAAATATATATATATATATATATATATATATATATGTGTGTATATAAATGCCCACAACATGTTCCTTTTTTAGGATCTGAAGTATTTTTCAGTTTTGGTTTAACATCAAAAGTTTTTACAAATTTTTTTTTTTACATCGTTTAGCCCTTTTTAGTTAGGTGGGATTAAAACAAAGGGAAATAAAAGCTATTTTATATATTTTTTAATGAAATCTCTTCAGAATAAAGTAATCAGATTACTCCATGGATCCTGCACCCAGCTGTTCTTCTGCCTCCTCATCCTCTCCAGATGTAAACAAAACCTCAGATGCAGCTCAGCTGTGATCTGTTCCTGCAGACGTCTAAAGGAGAACATCTACCTCGGCTCACCCATTCATCAGCCCAAACACACCTGCTGGAGCTCACTCACCTTAGTCCGAGTGAGACGACAACCCATCCTGGCTTCTCCTTGAGCAGGTGGAGTCGGGGGGGGGAGATGGAGGAGAGAGGAGGGGGAGATGAAGTGGGGAGTGAGGGGAACAGAGAAGAGATGAGGGAGAAACTGCAGCAGGAAGGAAAGAAACAAGAGTTTGCTGGAAGCCGTCCGCCCACCACCTCACATCTCCAAACTCTGCTGACCCACAATCCTCTGCAGATCAGTCCTCCTCCTGCGCCACCTGGAGGACTCCAGCTCCCATAATGCCGTGGGCCGAACAGCAGCTGCAGCAGTCAGTGGGCTTCAGGCCCATCGTGGTAAACACCTCCATCATGAAGGAGCAGCGGGCCGTCTTTATCCAGCTGCTTCTTCGTCTTTATGTTCCTGAGTCTCTGCATTTCTGCCCCTGTTATCCAATCACAGAGCCCGGATGCAGGAAGGGGGGAGGCGGACACTCTGATTGGCTGAGAGCAGAGTCAGTTGTGTCCATTCAGGGTTTCTCTCTCCTGCATTTCTCTGTCATCACCCTGTTTTTGCTGCTTTGTGCTTTTTGCTTCCATCCCTCATTTCCACCTCATCTCTGAGATTGCAGTCAGAGTGGTTCGGACCCAGAAGTGCGGTTCTGACCCGAAGCAGCAGCATGCACGCTGCTCAGCTTCAGGATTTCATCACGTTCAGAATGTTTCCCACAGCCACATGCTGCAGTTTGATGCCGCTCTCTAATAAACCCCTCCATCCGCAGCTTTTTAGGACTTCTGTTGTTACAGCGCCACCCAGTGGCCAAAACAAGAGCAGGGGTGTTCAAACTGCAGCCTTCAAAATTATTTCTAGTTTTGTCCACAAACAGGTTCAATGGCAAATGGCCTGCATCTGTATAGTGCACTCCCCAATAGATGCTTTTCAACACAATCGGTCATCCACTCACACACACACACACACACACACACACACACACACACACACGCACGCACGCACGCACGCACGCACGCACACACACTCATTCAGACATGGTGGTGATGATCTACTATGTAGCTGGCCAGGGGTGCCCTGATGAAAGCAAGACTGCCAACACTGATGCCATCGGCCCCCCTGACCACCACAAACAGGCAAGGCAGATTGGTATCTTGCCCAAGGACACAACAGCAGCATTCTTATGGCGGGAATTTGGATTGAACTAACAACCTCCCAATTATTGGACAACCCGCTCAACCTCCTGAGCTACTGCTGTCACATACTACTACTAATAATTATTATTATTACAACTACCATACTTTCATACTTCTATCTGTGGTATCTCACATGAAATACTGATGACTGTAAATATTTTTCAAATACAAAATTCCAATCCATCCATCCATTTTCATCCGCTTATCCAGAGTCGGGTCGCGGGGGCAGCAGCCTAAGGCGAGAGGCCCAGACTTCCCTCTCCCCAGCCACTTGGGCCAGCTCCTTCGGGGGAATCCCAAGGCGTTCCCTGGCCAGGTGAGAGACATAGTCCCTCCACCGTGTCCTGGGTCTACCTTTAGGTCTCCTCCTAGTTGGACATGCCCGGAAAACCTCACCAGGAGGCATCCTGATCAGATGCCCGAGCCACCTCAACTGGCTCCTCTCGATGTGGAGGAGCAGCGGGTCTATGAGCCCCTCCCGAATGATTGAGCTTCTCACCTTATCTCTAAGGGAGAGCCCAGCCACTCTTCGGAGAAAACTCATTTCGGTCGCTTGCATCCGCAATCTCATTCTTTCGGTCACTATCCAAAGCTCATGACCACAGGTGAGGGTAGGAACGTAGATCAACCGGTAAATCGAGAGCTTCGCCTTCTGACTCAGCTCTCTCTTCACCACAACAGACCGGTACAACGCCCACATCACTGCAGCACCAATCCGCCTTTCAATCTCACGCTCCAGTTTTCCCTCACTCGTGAACAAGACCCCGAGATACTTAAACTCCTCCACTTGCGGCAGGACCTCATCCCTGACCCGGAGAAGGCATTCTACCCTTTTCCGAATCAAGACCATGGTCTCGGATTTAGAGGAGCTGATTCTCATCCCAGCTGCTTCACACTCGGCTGCGAACCGCTCCAGCGAAAGCTGAAGATCACGTTCTGATGAAGCCAACAGGTCCACATCATCTGCAAAAAGCAGAGACCTGATCCTCAGGCCACCAAAACGGATGCCCTCCACACCTTGGCTGCTCCTAGAAATCCTGTCCATAAAGGTTATGAACAGAATCGGTGTCAAAGGACAGCCTTGGCGGAGTCCAACTCTCACTGGGAACGAGCCCGACTTACTGCCAGCAATGCAGACCAAGCTCTGACACCGGTCATACAGGGACCTAACAGCCCGCATCAGAGGGCCTGGTACCCCATACTCCCGGAGTACCCCCCACAGGGCCCCCCGAGGGGCGCGCTCAAACGCCTTCTCCAAATCCACAACACACATGTAGACGGGTTGGGCAAATTCCCACGCACCCTCCAGGACCCCCTAAGGGTACAGAGCTGGTCCAGTGTTCCAAGGCCAGGACGAAAACCACATTGCTCCTCCTGAATCTGAGGTTCAACAATCCGATGGACCCTCCTCTCCAGAACCCCTGAATAGACCTTAACAGGAAGGCTCAGGAGTGTGATCCCCCTGTAGTTGGAACACACCCTGCGGTTCCCCTTTTTAAATAAGGGGACCACCACCCCGGTCTGCCAGTCCAGTGGGACTGCTCCCAATGTCCACCCAATATTGTAGAGCCACGTCAGCTCATCCACCCCTGGAGCCTTGCCACAGAGGAGCTTTTTAACCACCTCAGTGACCTCCGCACCAGAGATTTTAGAGGCCAACCCAAAGTCCCCAGACTCTGCTTCCTCACTGGAGGACATGTCAGTGGGATTGAAGAGGTCTTCGAAGTATTCTGCCCACCGATCCACAATGTCCTGAGTAGAGGTCAGCAGCACACCGTCACCTCTGTAGATAGTGTTGGTAGCTCACTACCTCCCCCCCCCCCCCCCCCCCCCAGAGGCGTCAGATGGTGGACCAGAATCTCCTCAAAGCCGTACGGAAGTCTTGCTCCGTCGTCTCACCGAACTCCTCCAATGCCCGGGATTTTGCCTTGGCGACCACCCGAGCCGCGCTACGCTTGGACTGCCGGTACCCGTCAGCTGTCTCTGGAGTCCCACAGGCCAAAAAGACCTGATAGGACTATTTCTTTAGCTTGACAGGATCCCTAACCGCTGGTGGACACCAGCGGGTTCGGGGGTTGCCACCAATCCAAAAATATAAATCAAATTTCTTGTTTATTATTTCATTACCTGGTAAATGAGACCACAAACTCTCACTCACTAACTAAGCAGCTGACTAGTGAGCTGTATCACCATCTAGTCATTTAATTGAATGCTCTAAAATGACTAGAAAAGTTAATATAAGCTGTTCTTTCTTATAAGTAAAGCGATGTAGTTTAGAGCCTGATGAGAATCAAATGCAGTTTTCTCATATTCAGTTTCATTAGAAAACACCTGAGCGTAAACATCAGATGACACACACAAAAGAATCTGACGTCACAGCAGACACAACTAGCATCCTGCTAACAGCAAAACAAAAGTTAAAATCATGTTAACGGTCAGACAGCAGATATTCCTTACTTTTAGGATTATTGTTCCTCATTTCTTCCTTTTTATTCCTGTTCCGGTCTGAATTCTTATTTAGCTCATGTAGCAGCTAATGCTAATGCTAGCAAAAACGCCCGGGTTCTGCTAGACGCGTCTCACCCACATTTGACTGTCTTCCCCCGCCACACCTCCACTTCTCAAGCTGGACACAGATAGTTTATCTCTGCGTGAGCTACACAACGCTACTGCACACACATCCCTAGCTTCAGCTACAAATATGTTTTAATTGACTATATGAACGACGAGGGGAAATCACGCCCTCCAGCGGCGAAAAGCTGGAACTCTGACAACATTTAGCCTCTGTCTCAATGAAGCTGGGGAATTCACTACATTTATAATTCTAACAGTGTTATATATTTTTCATTTAGCTAAAACACAAATAAAACTGTGTTAATGTAACATTTAAACACGAAGATTGAGTGGAGTCAAGTGCTAAAGTTAGCCACAGCGCTACAACAAAGCTCAGTTGTTATTGAAGTGGGACAATCTCCCTCCAGTGGCGGCAGGCTGAAACTACACCTTAGAACTGTGGTGTCTCACAACACACACACACACACACACACACACACACAAACACACACACACACACACACACACACACACACACACACACGCACACACACACACACACACACACACACGCACGCACGCACGCACACACACACACACACACACACACACACACACACGCACACACACACCTGCACAGATACATACATCATGGTTTCATAATCTTTTTTTCCGTCGTCGTCTTCCTCCGCTTATCCGGGTCCAGGTCGCGGGGGCAGAATTCCAACTAGGGAGCTCCAGACTATCCTCTCCCCGGCCACCTCCGCCATCTCCTCCATCAGGACCCCAAGGACCCACCACCTCGGTCCGCCACTCCACAGGAACTGCCCCCGATGACCACGCAATGTTGCAGAGACGTGTCAACCACGACAGCCCTACCACATCCATAGCCTTGAGATACCCAGGACGAACCTCATCCGCCCCCGGGGCTCCGCCGCTGTGTAGTTGTTTGACTACAAACTTTTTTCCCATTCGTGAAAAATTTCTGTAAAAATAATTTTAGAGATTTTTTTCTGTTAAGAAACAGAAAGACGTGGATTTAATTTCGGACACAAATTTAGATGAAAACAAGCATAACTCAGTTTGAATAAACTTGATGTTTTTTGCATTAAAAACTTTTGCTCGGCGTCTTTACGGATGTTTGTGTCAGATTAGCAGAAAAGAACATTAGTGAACTCAGAAGACAAAAGTTAAAATGAATCGGTGTGATTTTAAAAAGTGAGGTCTAAAAACAGAAGAATGAAGACAGTTCAGAGGGTCTGTGATCCTTTGTCCTCTGCTCTTTGATCTCTGACCTCTCATGAATGAATGAATGCCTTTATTTGCCGCTGAAAAAATTCTGAAAAAATTCCATTTTGCTGTTAAAAATAATGTTCACAAATCTGTAACCAAAAGAGTGTATTCCTTTATTTATTGCATCTACAGAGATTTACATCATCTTTACCAGTTATTCCAGATAAATGCAGAAATTCCTGCTGAAAGAGACATAAATTAATAAAAACCACCCTGTTTCTTTCTGAGAGAATAAGGCCAACAAATCAGGAGAATAAAAACAGGAAAGCACATCGAACATAAAAGACTCCTCAGCTACTCTTCCTACTTGTTTGGTGTTTCCTCGTGAGATGAGTTCAAAAATCAGACAGTCCACCTTCACACTGTGCGGTTCTGCTCGACCCATATCCTAATACAGCAAAAGTTCTGATTATTCACGTCCACCCAAATCTCCACAGCACTTGAATGAAATATTAATGTGCAAAATAATTCTGATGTATGGAAGCCCTGAAAGGCCAAAAACAGGTTATATTCCACATCTCACCAAACCGACTCAGACCAAGATTGAAAACAGCGACTTAAGGAAGCGATGTTCTTATTTCTGAAAGAAGGAAAAATATTTAACTAACAAATACATTTTATTGTAATTATTTAAAACATTTTTGGATCAGATTTTTGCCTTTTAAGATTTTAAACGGATACTAGGCTTGCTTTTGGCACCCCCTAGTGTCCGAAGCAAAACCTATCTCCTCGCTGTGCATTCGTCTTTTTAACACCAGCTGGGACATCTCCCAGTGTTCCCGAGTGTCTACAGGAGTGGTTCATCACTAAAATAAACAAATCTGCTGTGTTCATGATCTAAAACATGCAGGAAACCTGCTGAAGCCAGACAGCAGTGTCAGTCAGGTCACCACAGACCGGACCGGAAGTGGGATGTTCTGGCCACAGGGGGCGCTAGGGGCTGGGTGGACTTTCGTTGACCCTGTAACGGGTCATTTTAGCACAAACTGGCTCAAGAAAACGATTTAAAAATAAAAAATGTTGCAAAGTATCCCTTTAACATTTTTATTAAAATTTTCAGACAGTTTTTGCCTCCTTCCACAAACTAATTTCCACCAGAGAAAAAGTAAATGTGGTCAGACAAAAAAATTGAGACAGCTTTGTGTCTTGCTTTTTGGCCTTTGGGGCTTCCGTACTGATGAGAGTTAGGAGGAGAGCTCAAATTCTCTAGCATCACTTCATCAGCTCCTTGTAAGACCCAGAGCTGAATTTAGTATTTCAGTTCGAACTTCTAAAGCTCTGAAAGCTCAGCCTTCTTCTTCTATTATCTTCTTGTTCCAGATGTTCTCAGCAGAACATCTGGTTCTCAGACTGCAGGCGTGGTTCTATAAGTAGAACGGAAGGCAGACCTTTCAGTTCTCAGACTCCTCTGGAAGCAGCTTTCAGTTTTAAAACCCCTGTCAGCTTGGCTTGTCTTGGCTCATCCCTTTAGCTATGCTACTGGAGGACACAATGACCACATTCACTCTACTGCAGGGTATCTGCAGGTTTAAGGGAGCCAAATTAAGACTTTTAAAGACCTTTTTAAGGCCATTTTGACCAAATTTAAGCTATTTTTTAAATTAAATTTAAGCTATAATTTCCAGCTATTGTCTGGAACCGGTGCTAACCACGTCGCTAACGTGGGATTAGCCATCCAGTTACCATTAAACTTGCACTTCCCCGTGGCGCAAGCTCCCACTAGCTTAACCAGCTAATGTGCTCATCTAAAAATAGCCCCCTTTCACAACCAACTGAATGTGTACGGTTCCGCTTACGCCATCATCGTACACAAAAAATGCTGAAAACTAACTAGAAATTCTTGTTCATTGGGTCTTTGGTAATTTAAGACCTTTGGAAACTGTATTTAAGGATTATTTGTCATTTTTAAGGATTTTTAAGGCCTTAAATTTAGAAAAGCAAATGTAAGACTTTTTAAGGACCCGTGCTACTGGCTTTACTCTCCATGTTTGTATTCACTGTTGGTGCACCTCTGTCTCGTTCCTGTCCTCCTGGACTCCAGTTGGCCCTGGCTTTGGTTCTGGTTCTACGCTCTGCTGGTCAGGCCGAGGGAAAAACCGACACAATCTGATGGTTTCAAACTCGTTTTGCCTCTGAAAGGTGAAAGCTAAACATCTGAACCCTAACCCTAAAATCAGCTGATTCAAGATGGCCGCAAAAGCTCATCAACCTTTAAAAACACTTCAACGATCGCCTTTCCAGAGACTGGATAGCATTCTGACATTTCCGAGTCACTTAGAGTCTGATTAGAGACGTTTCAGCGTTTGAAAATGTTGGCTAGCAGGGGCGGCCATCTTGAATCATCCTGTCTGACAGTCTTACTCTCTAGTAGATAATGAGTACTCCACTCCTGCTGCGTCCCACCAGAACCGTAGCATCAAACTGAAACGGCGACGGTTTGTGTTTTCATCAGATCTTGTTGTTAAAACGATGAAGCTGCTCTGAGGATTCTGAGCTCTTCAGCTGCTTCGCTGGTGTTCCAGCTGATCCGAGTCGGTCTGCTGTGAAATCGTTTAGGTCCGTGTCAGTGGCTGGGTTCTACCGGAGGCCATGGAAGCAGGCTATAATTTGTCCCGTAATCCAGCTCAGACTTCATCCAGATGTTGTTAAACAGCAGCTGCTTGCAGGTGAGTGAGTTAGGATCTGACCCATTTGCTGCTGCAGGACGGGTTGAGCTTCAGCGTCTCCTTACAGCCTGAGAGTCAGGAGTCCAGTCAGGAGTCCAGTCAGGATGGACGTGGACATGGAAGCAGCTGATGATGTCATCGCCGGTTTTGTTTTCTCCCAGACTTCCTCCTTCCTGATTATACTCTCCTCTCTCACCTTCTTGCTCTGCTCCTCTTTCTCCTCCTGCCTGCTCGGCCTCGAGGAGGAGGCTCCAGGTGGGAGGTTGGTCTCTGATGAGGTTCCTGGTGGTGGAGTGTCTCCATCTTCAGGTCCTCGTGTGGGGAGGAGCTCAGTGGTGCTGGCAGGTGTGGATGAGGAGGTGGGGTGCTCCTCGGCCAGCTCCTCTGTTTCTGAAAGAGTTACTCCTGGAGACAGTGTAGGAGGAAAACTGGTCCCGTTGTTCGTGTCATCATCTTCAGGTTCATCTTCCTCCAAATCAGGGACTGAAAAGACGGATAAAAGTTGTTTTCAGCGTCTTTAAACAGGTAAAAGCTTAAAGAGTCTGAGAATCATGATGTCAAAATAAATCTGAGTCAGTCACAGTGAATGGACGAGTTTTATACTAGTGATGTGTCGGTCGCGAACGAACCGGCTCTAAGAGCCGGCTCTTTGAAGTGAACGACGGGAGCCGGCTCGTCATTGGGAGCCGTCCCCTCCCCTCCCCCCTACCCCCCTGCTTTGGTGAAAGCTACAGGCGATTGGTCAACACGTGTAACAGTGTGTCCAGACTGTCCACACACAGAGCAGTAGGGGCGGGGAAGAGGGAGGATCAGACTCAGACACACAGCAGAGCACATGCGGGTGGAGGGAGACGAGAGGGAATGAGGAGGAGGAAAAAGGCGAGCGAGAGAGCGGAGAGTGCGACGAAGACGGTGAGAAAATGAGCGCCAGCAGTCGGAAAGTGGAGATTTCTTAGTGTTCAGTTATTAAATCCATAGAAATGATAAATATTTGATATATTGCTTTTTTCTTACATTAGTAAATTAATTTACATATAGTTTAGCATTATTTTGGTTATAAATGCACTCTACGCAACAGAAAATCTGAGGAGCCACTTGGGAGCCAAAAGAGCCGGCTCTCTAAAAAGAGCCGTAATTCCCATCACTATTTTACACTGCCAGCAGGCAGGGCATGCAGGCGTTTGGGGCCCCAAGGGCCACAAGGGGGCCCCAGAGAGCCAACAAACTTTGAGGTCAGAGCCGCAACAGCAGCGAGACAGTGAACATTTTCAACCGCAGGAAAATACTTTGGGTAAACCTGTGAACAGCTGCAGCTCATAAAGGTTCTGAAAATGAAAGCTCCAACATTCGTGCACATTCCGACGTTCCCGTTCATCTATCAGCATCTTCCAAGAGGAACTGTTCAATTGGTGAGTCATTTTCAGGAAAATATGATAAAGAACACATAAAAATTATATTTGAACATTAGTCTAACACTGTTAAACGTAATGACTGAGTCAGTGGCGGTTCTACATGGAATTACTCCCCGGGCGAGGCCCCCTTTGAGCGCCCCCCACCACCACCACACACACCACCACCACCACCCCACCTGCACGCACACACGCATGTTTTCTACAAACAGGCATGTTTTATTAGAATGACTATTGAACATTAATTTTTCTAAGTTGCACATATTTACATTAATTACTATGAAGTTGTCAGAATGTAAGGCAATATACATTATATACTGTATCAAAATATATAGAATCAAATATACAAAAACAAACAATAACTAAATATTAAGAATATATGCACATAATATATAATAAATATTCTAAATAGCAAAAATATTTCACACATAACAAACTAAAGATAATCACTGCATTGCACTTAGAACAGAAAACACAAACTAAAATTAAAACCTAACCTTGATGCAACGTCATCAATAATGTCGTCATATGAAATCTGCTCCCCTACTGAGTGATTGATACTAATCAGAGCCAGGTTAGTGAGCCGCCCCTGAAACATAGGTGACCTCAGGTATGACTTGATCAAG